ACGGCCCGAGCCTTGGTAAACAGGATGGCGCTGCGGTGGCTGCTCAGTGGAGCCTCTGCGGCTCTGTAGCGGAGCACACCGTGAACTCGGGGGGGGGGGGGGGGTCGTGGCGTGGAGAAAGCAAGCCCGGCTCTTTGTTCTCTCTCGTCTGATCTCGCGCTTGTCTTTTCCTCGCTAGTCCAGATGAACTCGCCGCAAGGGCCGAGTCCCAGGTGCACGTTGAGGTGTGAACGGTCCCTTACAAAGAACTGCTGGGACCCTCAGGCCCATGCACCTGGGCCCCGGGCTCCCTCGGTCCCTGACAGGTGGCCTGTCACTCGCCCTTTTTATCAGACCGTTCAGCTGAAGATCTGCCTCCCTTAGTTCACCCTGAAGGGAGACTCACCTCATGTAGGTCCTTTTTGATTCCCTTTTGCTCTTTCAAACATCTCTTTTCTCGTACTTGCTGCTGGTTAATCCTGTCGTCTTTTTTGAGTATTTCTGTGCCATGGATAGTTTTCTTGGGAACTTGTTGACCAAATAACCAAGGTTTCCCTTGAGGGTGGCTTCAGATTTTGTATGTGGCGTTTTCTTTGGCCATTTTTTGGACCTGCACATAGGACCCTCACGCCTGGCCACACACCTGGCCTCACGCTGACTGATTCCCTGACCACCACGCAGGTAAAGCACAGCCCTGTCCTGGAGTCAGTCCATTCCCGTGTCACAAGGCGGCATTCGCTGGCAGTGAGGGTGTCCTGGCTGGTGAGTCCCAGCAGCTCCGGCCCTGGCCTGTGGCATCTAAATGTTTCTCTTGCCCTTTAAGAGAAAGTCTGCTGGCCCCTGTGTAACCTCGTATTGCCTAGAGAAAAATTCAGACACGTTTGTGTCTTGGCATGACTTAGTCTGAATAGTACCCGACGGAGTAAGAAGTAAAATCATTTCCGTTTTTCTACAGTAAATTTTGTTGGCACCAAAATGGTTGATTTTCTTGACTATTTTAAAAACACAAAGTAGGTTTACAGTTTCTGTTTAGAACTGAATTGTCTGTTAAAACGTTTTCTCCTGTTGCAGTGTTGAATATGAGACGTTTGACATATTGGAGGATGAGGAGGTAAGTTCTGTCTTTATGTCCTTGGTCTCTGCGTCCCTTGCGCTGAGGGGCAGGTGTCAGGGTTCCTGCTGTTTTCGTAGGTGCGGCAGGGACTGAAGACCTTCTCCAACTGGCCCACGTACCCGCAGCTGTATGTGAAAGGGGAGCTGGTCGGAGGGCTGGACATCGTTAAGGTGAGTCCCGAGCACCGGCGCCCTAAGACGGGGACATGAGAGTCCGTTTCGAACAGGAACTCTGGGCTATCCTGGCCACCTTTCTCTTCCGGCCTCACGTCCAGGCACCTTCTACACCATGTTACCCTGTCTGGGCCCTCGTATCTGGTTATCTCCCCGTCACTGCCCTGTCAGACCGTCCCCACCACTCACCTGAGCCCCAGGCCCTGCCTCACGGTGGGGCCTGACCCGACACTGGCTGCTGCTCCGGGAGCCCCTGCAGCTCCTGAGCGAGGTCGCCAAGCCCAGTCTCTGGAGCGTGGTGCTCAGAGCAGCTCACACCGCGGCCGTGCTCCAGATGCAGTTTCCTCCCGCTGCACTAAGTCTGTGGAAATTTCCTGCATGTTTTCAGCTTTTCCTCACCGCCGCCTCTGCTTTGGGTGGCCTCGCACGTTCCATAGTTCAGTCTGTTCTTTGTATCCATTAGGGTCACTCTTGTCTGGGAATTACCTAGAGCCGTGGTCGGCAAACTGCGGCTCGTGAGCCACATGTGGCTCTTTGGCCTCTTGAGTGTGACTCTTCCTAAGTCTTAGGAGTACCCTAATTAAGTTAATAACAATGGACCTACCTATATAGTTTAAGTGTAAAAAATTTGTCTCTCAAAAGAAATTTCAATCGTTGTACTGTTGATATTTGGCTCTGTTGACTAATGAGTTTGCCGACCACTGACCTAGACTATTCCAGCTAGAAATATTTGCTTCTGCTCCTGAAGTCCTTTAGACTCAGTGTGCCTTTAGACTCACATTGTTACAGTTATTCTACTAGCGGCCCGATGCACGAAATTCGTTGAACAGTCGGCCTTTGCAGCCACGGCTGCCTGGATCCTTCCCTCGCAGCTGCCCTGGCTTCGCCCTGGAAGGACGTCCGGTCTGATTAGCATATTACGCGTTTATCATTATAGATTTTCTCATGTTACTCTATTCCGACTCACATGCTCTTGGTGACAACAGGCCGTGGGCAGGAGGCCTGAGTCGCAGTGCCAGCCGGCCCTGTCTGTGGTCACTGCCTAGTTTCCTGACGGGAAACCACAGGATTGCTTAGGCCAGGCCAGGTCCCTGGGTCTCAGATGCTAGAAGAGCGGTTCCTTCTCAGACTGTGAGCACGTGTCAAGGCCCCACTGTTTCTTACATGTCTTCAGGGATTTGCTCCTTCTTTGTTGGCTTTAAACTCTCGTTGAATTTTCACTGGCCATGGCTTTTCTTCTAGAATTTAAAGTCTAGAAGTGCGATGGCACCTGTGTGCTGCAGACACTACTGAGGAGCTGACACCCCACACTGGCCCCCCCGTGTGACGGTGCTGGAGGGGGCGGCAGTGGTGGGTATGGCAGGGCCTGAGCAGGGGCGTGGCCAGGCTGCGAGCTGCTCCTGCGCCCGGGGCTGCCTGGACTTCCTCTGAGGTCACATCTCTGGCTTAGGTGGAAGGCAAGTAGTAAGTGGTGCTGCTTCTAGTTACGTTGGAGAACGAAAGCTGTAAAGCCGCACTTTGTAACGTGAAGGAATCCGAGCAGGACCTGCGTGACGTCAGTGCTGTGGTGGAAGGTTCTATAGGCCGGCCTTTGCATGCAGAGGCTGCAGGCTTTCGGGTTTGACATCACACTTTCAGGCGAGCCAGGGAGGCATGTTTCTGCTAAACTGTCTACTCCTGGTGGGAAAAAGGTCTACCTTAGTAGCTTTGAATAGCCCTGAAGCAACAGAAACAGATCTGCATCTGTTATTTTATACAGGGATTTTATTTTTGTAAAACACAGTCTTCAGACCCCAAATTCTCTCGAGCCTGTTCTTGTCTGAATGTTTTATAGCCGGTACCTTAGCCATCGGTAACTCTTGGGAAGATGCAATCAATAAATCTCATTTAATTCTGCAGCTGAGCTGCACGGCAGCTTCTAGGTCTGCAACAGGGTGTTGGCCATATGCCTTGATGCTCACCTGCGGGAACATAGGAATTTGAGGATTTGTTCTTTGGGAAGATAACTGGGATCAGCTCCCGGATCGGCATTTTGGTGTGTTTCTTGCAGGGCGGGGCTCTTCATCTATAGGTTAGTTAACACCGGGGTTACGTTCCCAGGGGTCTGTTCTGGCCTCTTTGGGAGCAGAGTGCTTGCTTCTCTGATGAATGGGTGATTGACTATATGGACTAGTGGTCAGTGACCCAGTCAGTCTCATGTCCTGACCATCTTAGCTGCTATGCAGTGTGGACTCAGTGAGTGCGTCTCAGCTCTGAGGGGTCCACTCTGGAGAGTGTGTGGAGTCCAAGCATTTAGACCTGGTCGCCCTTAAACTGCCCCTGAGGACAGTTGCTGTGCCAGGACTCCCGCCGGGCCAGCGCACTGCTCTAGTGCCGCCGCCTGAGAGAGGCCGTCCCGTCAGAGGGGGTCACAGGCCTGGGGAGGTAGGTGAGCTGTCAGCCAGGACGTCCTCCATCCGATCTACCCGAGGGCCGCCGGCCTCCTGGGGCGTGAGCTCGGGACAGCCCGCGGAGCTTTGGTGCAGCAGGGCGGCTGCTGTTCTGTGGGAGTGGATCCCAAGGCACCGCTGCCGGCGGCTGAGAGCGTGGGACAGGGTCTCCCCTCCCAGGTCTAACCCACGAGGAGCTCGCCTGGGGCTATTGATTGGTGTTCAGGCTGCTTCCTAAGAACCTGGCATGTTCCATCAAATTAAGCTAGAAAACTTGATCCTTCGGTCACACTTTAAACTTGATGGCTGTGTTCCAGCTTTTCTGGAGATTTCTGCAGCATGTGCTGGTTGCTGGCCTTTACGTGTATTTACACGGCAGTGCGGTGGCTTTGCCGGGTGGGGGGAGAGAGTGGCGCGGGCAGCAGGTGTCGGTGCAGGTGTGAGTGGATGCTCACACCTTCAGTCGCTCACAGTTTCCGCCTCTCTCTGTTGTATTGTGTAGACAGGAGGCCGTATTGTTTTGTTCCAGTTGCTGGATTTGTTAATGCGGAGCCTTTTTCACCCAAACTTTGCGGTCTGACAACGTCCTCTGAACGCCGTGGCTCCGTGCTTAGCTGGAGGTTGGCAGCTGGCGTTCCGTCTGGTTCTCTGGTACAGATGCAGTCTCTCACTGCATTGTTTTTCACAGGTGCCTGTCCATGTTGTTTTCTTTTTTATTTCTAGGAACTGAAAGAAAACGGCGAATTGCTGCCTACACTGAACGGAGGAAATTAATAACAGTTAAGCGTGGTGCCCAACTCGTGCAGGAAATACTTCGCTACAGCCGAGCGGCTCGCGGCCAGGCCTCCCCACGGACGCGGGAGGAAAGGCCCCTCCCGTCGCTGTGCCCCACAAAGCCGTGCTAAAGACCTGTGTTACCATTTCCCCACCCAAACTAGAGCGCAATAAACCAGTGAAAAGCACGGTGGAAAGAGCGTCTTTACAGGGAGTGAAACATAGTGACCGTGGTTAACTCACTCACTGCCTCTCTCCTAATGTGGGCTCCCTGTCGCAGTGGTAAATAGGCTTCCAAAAGGGGAGACGTGGGACGGAGTGAGTCCACAGCGGTATCACAGCAGCGCAGGCCAGACCAGTGGCTCCCCTCGCTGGCCAGAGGCCTCTACAGCGCGGGACGCACATAGTGGTGGATCGTGGAGGCGATGCAGGGCGCCTCGGACTCTAGTGAGCGCAGCGTGTGCTCCCAGGAAGCACTGCAGAGGCAGCGGCCTGACGGAGTTGGCACAGCAGGCACTTCGCACAGCACAGGGAGTGGGCGGCTGGGACACGGCTGAGGGTGTTGGTGCTACAGCTCACTCTAAGCACTACATGGACAGCATGGATGTAGCCTTTAAATAGGTTGGCAACATCCCGAGGTTCATGAAAATGTCAGCACACTTTTTGATCCTGAGTCTCCCTTAGGCCTGTCTCATGCACGCCATTCTCAGGATGGCTGCCTTCCCCTCCATGCTGCTGAGATTTTGGGGTGCCTATGGCCCTGTATGGTCACTGACTTTTCCCAGCCTATTGATCTGGTGGTGAGGGCCCACAGAAGTGCCTGGTGGTGGTAAGGACAGGGTACCAGCAGCCATTCAGATAAGAGACGGGAAACGCTGGGCTCCGGGAGGCTCGCCCTGCCTGAGGCGCCGCTTCCCTGCTGTTGGCCTGTGTAAACGAGGCAGCGGCCCACGGGGCGCGTGTTCCCAAGGGCATCTGCACAGGTCACAGTGGTGGACATGGCCTTGCCTCCTGCTCGGACACGGACACCATCTCACTGGGTTTTCTTGCCGCTGTGTAATCAGATGGGGCTCCTGCATTGTCCATGAAGCAGAACCTCTAATGCAGAGGGAAATGGGGTTTCATGAAGCCATTGAGTGACTCACGGGGGAGGAGGCCATCCATGCATACTTTATCCCAAACTGAAGTCGCTTGCTTTCATGAATTTTGCCCTGTCCACCTTGTCCTATGGTACTTTCTGCTAAATTACCTTTTAACTTCAACTTATCCTAAGCAAGAATATCTTTTTTAAAATATATATTTTTTTTATTGATTTCAGGGAGTAAGGGAGAGGGAAAAGGAGAGAGAGAGAGAAAGAGAGACCGAGACATCAGTGATGAGAATCATTGATTGGCTGCCTTTACTGGGGATCGGGCCCACCACCCAGACATATGCCCTTGACCAGAATCAAACGCAGAACTGTTCAGTCCCCAGGACAATTCTCTATCCACTGAGCCCAACCAGCTGGGGCAGGCATGTCTTTGCTATCACAGATTGATAAGCTATTCTTCCCTATTGCAGCTCAAAGCAAATGCCTGACTCTTCACATCAACACCCACCTGTAGTTTAGGAACCACTGTTCTGCCAAAGGGGTTGCTCTGATGATGTCAGCTGGGCCGTGAATTTTAGAACAGGCTGCCCTTCCTTAGGGTGACTCGCATGACGGGAACCCTCAGCGACATCACCCTTGCTGAGCACCCTGGTTTGAGTAGGGGTGAGAGTTTATAGAGTTTGGGGCGCCATCCGTGTGCAGCACGTGCTAGTCTGCTTTTCTCTACATTCTGTCTGGGTTGCTTGTGGACCCAGGTAGCCAGACCCGGGAAGGTCAAGGGAACCTCATGCAGCTGATCGAAGGCCAGTCCTAACCTGTTATTTTAGGATCGAGGCAATTCTTGGGCCCACCTGAACCCCACGTTCCACTGGCAGTCCCCAGTCGGTTTTCTAACAACATCGAGCTCACCCTTGCGGTAACGTTTGGTCAGAACCGACCTCCTCTCCGATGCATGAATCCTAGAGAGAGTTGTTACCAGCACTTGAGAGGCTGTGAGCAAGGAGAGGTGACATCATTTGACTGTCACCCCAGGTCTGAGCTCTGTCGGGAGGGCCCTAGCGAGTGTGGGTGTTGTGGGAGTGGGGGTTCCTGTGTGGAAAGAGCCCGGTGTGCACTGCAGGTGTGAGAAGCACCGCCACGCTTTCGGGGGGTAGGGCCCTTGCACGCCCAGCCACTCCTCGCAGCCTCCCTGTGCTTGTGTCTCCTCGTGGCTGGAGCTCATGGCTCTGAGGGCTGTGGATCGCCCTCCCAGCATGGCAAACAGACCTCAGCGAGGGGGGTGCCTCACGTGGAGACTAAAGGTGACCTTGCCAGGGGAGGGTTCTTAGGGGATTGGTGTTCACTGGGGAAATAGCCTGCAGGGATGGGCTTTTTCTTTTAAACTCTTTGCTTGGTAACCAAAACTGGAAAGAAAAATACAATGAAAGGAGTTAGGAATTGTGCAGGTGAAGAACTTGGGGACATAAGAATTCGTTCAAGGGCAGAGTGGTGGAGTGGGGATGTGTCCCCAAACTCCAGGCTCGCCCCTTCTCCACAAGAGGGCAGCATTGCAACACCTCCCTTACTACGGTGCTGTTCTCAGAATGTCCACAAGAGGGCACTATTGCAACATCCCTGCAGGATGAGAGCCCTCTAGGTCTCAATAGGACTTTCTCTTCAGACTTGTGAAATTCATGACTACGGTTCAGGTCTCAGAATACCCGCATGAGGGGAATACAGTGGGGCCTTGACTTATGAGTTTAATTCGTTCCGAGACTGAGCTCGTTAAGGAGCTCGTTAACTCAAATTACTCTGTCAACTCAATGCAAAAAATCGGCCGAGAGACAGCTGGTATCTCAAAAAACTCGTTAGTCGGGACACTCGTAAGTCAAGGCCCCACTGTATTGCAGGACTCCCTGCAAGGGGGAGAGCACTCCAGGACCATCAGTGGGACTTCCTTTTCAGACTCCTAGATTTCATTAGTAGGGTGCTCTTCTCAGGATGTCCACAAGAGGGCACTGTTGCCACACCTCCCCGCAGGGCCAGAGCCCTCTAGGTCTATCAGTTTTCCTTTCAAACTGGCAGAATTCGTTACTAGGGTGCTCTTCTCAGAATGTCCACGAGAGGGCACTGTTGCAGACCCTCAGCCAGCATTGCCTGCAAACTGCCCTTTTTGCATACCCATTCTTGCCCTTTTGTCTTTGTCCTTCTACCCAATAGAAGCAGCTGAAGGGCTATGGTGGAGGGCAGAGCAGACTTTGTGCATGACCTGCTCTCCCACACTACTGGCAGGATTGGAATAAACACTCATATACGATTCAACCCTGTCTCTGCTTAATTGGCTCAAGTAGGGACAGGCAGCCCGGACCCCCTGAGTGTCCGGTTTCAGTTTCGGACGTAATCTTTAACTAGAACCAGTTTCCTTAAATTTGATAATTGTTACCAAAATCGAAAGCTTTTTTCTAAATAAAAGGGATTGGGTACTTTGCACATAAATTCTCTCATTTATACATATTCCAGATGTTGAGTCCTAGGGATGGATATACCTTAACTTGACGCCTCATTCACCGAAATGGTGAATTTCTTTTTTTAATCTTTAAAAAACTTAATTTTTTCAATTACAGTTGACACACAGTATTATATTCATTTCAAGTGTTCAACATAGTGATTGGACATTTATATAGTTTAGGAAGTGATCACCCTGAAAAGTCTAGCACCCCAATGACCCTGGAATGGGGAGCTTCAAGGAGGTCTGTGAGGTTAGTGTCGCACTCTGGGTCACAGGCGGGGCTTTATTGTCCAGCTGTGTCTGATATCTGCGGACGTTCAGATTCGGGGAGTCTGGACCCGGTGAAGAGGGTGTGGGGCGGGGGGCGCCTGTGCTGCTGTGTGTCCTGGCGCCATGCTCGCTCTCCTTGGGCAGAGTCCTCAGTGGCAGGACTTGGGCGCTGAAGTCACTCTCCGGGCGCCTGGCTGGGAGCCCAGCGGGTTCAGTGCTCTGAGCCTCCCCACACTGGTGGCCACGCCATCCCCTGGCAGGCGCCTCACTTCTGAAATAACAGCAGTTTTACATCGAATTCAAAATAAGTGCCCAGACTCGGCGAGGTGTGCCTGTAGGAGGCCTCTGTGCCCCCTTCATCTGAATGGTTACGTTTGTAGGTAGCTCATTTAATCTTTTCTTGGAACAAAGTTTTATGTGAGGGAGCGACACGTTTCCCACAAAGAAAAATCAACCAAAAAAAATGAGTTCGAGTGTCACCTCTGACACGCGTGTCATAGGTTCGCCATCACTGGGCTAAGGGGCTGGTTTGCTTTAAGAGCAAAAAGCCCCGTTCGCCTGCCTCCTTAGGCTTTTATTGGAACAACTGCTTGAACTAAAATTAACCATTAGATACTGTCAGGAGGGTAAGCATCCTTGAGAAAGCACCTGCATCTGTAGTGTCTTTCAAACAAGGACGTTTTGAAGTCTAAACATAGAGATTCCAGTAAAACACCCCGGGGCTCAGACTTGTTTGGAAAGTCAAGGCAGGGGCTGCCGCCTTCGGCCAGGTCCCCCTAGAGGCCCCGACCTTTCCGAGATTCCTCCTTACTGGCTTTCCAACCAAGTCCCGTGCTTCCCCACATTATAGGAGTCAAAATAGTTTATTATGCTCTTGCCCTGTGTTTTAATGAAGGACTCTGCAGGATATAATGAAAAGTTAGGAGGAGGTGGGTCCTCAGAGAGCCCCTTCCTCCCCCCCTTCGCCCCCCCTCTTCCTCTTCCTCTTCCTCTTCCTCTTCCTCTTCCTGTCCATGGGAGGGTTCCAGTGCCTTTGGCTGTGGTGAACGCAGGCAGGGAGGGGGCCCAAGCTGTTCCAGGTCCAGCAGTGGAGACCTCACCTCACGGGGTGTGGAGCAATCCAGGGCCTTCGTCCTTCATGAGTCCTGAGGGCCCCACCCCAGAATCACCAGCCCACTGCGCACCACCCCTCCTGGCGGGGGGACTTTGCAGAGAGGGCAGCTGATCAGGAGAGCTGTGTTTGGGGAGGTGGCCCTTGAGTCCAGCGCTGGGGTCCCCGGGTCAAGTAAGCCTGTACTTGCTTTGAGTCTCCCTGAGCTCCCCCACGTGGGGCCCTGGGACCCTG